AAAAGTAGGTTTTCTGTATATACTGGTGAGAAAACAAGTAATCTTTTTCAACTAAAATGTCTAAGAATGGTAAAGTGTTATGTTGCACCTTTTCAAAAGTAAATTTGAGAGCCGAGTGCAACGAGTCTACATAGCGGAAGTAAACAGCAGGTCTGGTAACTATGTTAAATATTTCTTTTTCATGGAAACCAACAAAAATATTGGCTAAGTGATTGCCTTACCAGCCTACGTTGATCTGACTCATTTTATAAGCTGTACTATTTCCTATAGATCATTTTCCAGGTGGTTCTGCTATGATTAGTGTCTGGCAAAAAGCTTCAGCAGATATTTACTTTGCAACATCTCAACCATCAATTTGTCCAGTTATCAACGCTAACTTCAAGTTTTGAACAACTTGACTTTTAAGATCTACGTGTCTACATGTGGCAATGTTTCCGTTTATCAACGTTATATTTTAAGATCTGTGCAAGATCTCAGCTAACAGTGTATCAAAGCTATCTTCAAGTTTTGTACAGTGAAAAACCTTTTTAAATATGAGATTTACAAATGGGTTGTGTGTTTTTGGGTGGATTTTCTTTTTCCTGTAAACCTAACATGTATGCTTTGTTTGTCATTTTTATATATTGTACTGCCTTAGCATTTACTAATAAAGATTTTAAAATGTTGCTTGAACTGAAACTCTACTGTTTAAAGTATTTATTGCTCAAGTATTCTATTAGTGTTTTGTCCAATTCCTGGTCAATCCCTATTATGAACATTTATTTTTACTAAGAATCTTTCACCTCTTCAGAATATATTATCCATTTCTTGATTTTCAAATTTTTCCTTTAGTTTTTGTACAGGCCTGGGCTGAAACTTTGATATGGTGTCACGTCAAATAGTTTGATTGTTTACTGATAAAAACAAAGCTTTGAAAGCAGCTGTAAAGAAAGTTTAAACCTGATGGGATAAAGGAAGAATTAGACTATCGCTTAATAATATATAGGCTTAAGAGGGTTTTGTTTTATAGTTTCTGTAAACCTTCTTTTTGCTGTGAAAGTGTGTGTGTTTTAAATTACACCAGCTTGAAACTTTATATTTTTACTATTACTACTACAGATCTGGTATCATTTAAACTGTATTTACTTAGTGTCATTACAGAATACTAACTTTATATTTTTACTATTATTCCTATAGATTTTCACCTGAAATTGGTCCATCTGTTACGGTTCTTTCCCGTGTTCCCATTCAAACTGAAGAGCATCAGTTAAATACTTTGCTTCAAATGATGAATAACAGGTGGAATGTCTGTCAACTGTCAAATACTTCTCAGGAAACTAAATAAGACAAGAGGCTACATTAACAGCTTGGCCAAGAGCTGAAACCAACAAGATAATTATCAATTTAAAATATAAAAGAGTAATAATAATAATTATTATTTATCGGAAATCTGAATATACAGAGAATGAGAACTTAACAGACAGAAAAACCTCCATTACAAACTGTATAAGGAGGAATTTTGTAAATTAGTTACAGAAGTGTCGTGTAGTTACACACAATATATGTATAAAACATTGAATGACGTCTGTTATTACATCTGTTGGAATGAACATTTTGAATAAATACAGTCATTTGTACAAGCCCTGATGACAAAATGTAGACTGAAAGGTTTTTTACATTATCTGTAGAGTTAATGTTTTTTTCTCTAACATTATTGTCTAAAATGTTTAAATCCCTCCAGTATTCCCTATCAACTCTATAAACCAACAAAATAAACTAAAGTTACTACATCTACTATAAAACTGTTACAAGAAACATAATCCAAGTCATTTAGTTCAGTATAGCAGTTTCAAAATAAGGTGAAAATTTACATTCTGGTGAAAAGAGTTAAAATAAAAAGGTACTTTTATTTTGACACTTTAAATAAATGCTGATAAAGTATGTTTATTATAAATATTTTGATAGGTTTATTTAACCAGTATTTTATCAAGTTGTTTAAACTCCAAAGTTATTAT